CGACCGGCCCCAATGGTAACATGCGCGCGGCGAGGCGAAACGCGGGCGAATTCTGCACCGCTTCTTGCCAGTGCGTCTCCAACAACTGTGCTGGCAGCAAATGCAGACAAGGCCAGTGTTCGCCACTGTTCACCTCGCAGTAGTGCCTGACCTCGCAGTTCTGTGGCCCTTCGCCCAACGGTAATATGTGCTTCAACAAGGGAACACCGGGAGTCCAGTGCACGAACCCTGTCCAGTGCCTGTCGGGCATGTGCAGCAGGGGCCGCTGCATGCTCAACAAGTGCCCCGTCGAACTGTTCACCATGGGCTGTGATATGAGCACCCAGTTCTGCACGGCCGCAGTCGATGGGAGTATGTGCACCCCCAAGCTCATGAACACCGCTCCGTTGATGATGAGCGTCCAGCGCGTGTCCGGCAACTGCCTGAATATGGTCTGCCGCCCGGCTCTGCTCAGCGCAGGTGCCATGTGCACCATAAACTCCCATTGTGCATCCGGCAACTGTGCTGGCACCACGTGCGGCGTAGCCCTGAGCGGCATCGGCAGTACCTGCACGATGGGCTCGCAGTGCGCCTCCACGTTCTGTGTGTTGGGGCAATGCGCCGCGCAACTGGCCATGATGGGAGCCATGTGCTCCGTGAACGCCGATTGCGTCACGCGCAACTGTGCTGGCACCACGTGCGGTCCAGCGCTGGGCGATATTGGGAGCCCGTGCTAACGGGGTGCTCAGCGCAAATCGACCTTCTGTTTGGCCGTCATCTGCGCGGCGCAACTCCAGGGCGGCAACGCCGCGCGCGCTGCAGACACGGACTGCACGTCTGTGTGTCATTGGCGTGCGGAGCACCACTGCTGCCAAATGCAAACCCTTGTGTTGAGAACACTCAGTGCGCGTCAGGGTTTGTGTTTGCAAGTCTTGTGCGGCTCAATCCCTCACAGAAGGCAGCCCGTGCGCAAAGAATACGGACTGCCTGTCGGGCAACTGTGGCCGCGTTGGTTGTGACAACAAGGTTCGTGTAAGAATGCCGTGCACGGAAAATATTGAGTGCCTGACTGGAAATTGCGCCGAAAACATATGCAAGTTTAACATCAGCGTTGGCGGATCGTGGCAGACCAACATACAATGCGGGAGCGTAAACTGCGCAGAACTGGAAAGCGGTATGCAGTGTGCAGAGCCGCTTATTTCCGGCGCCCCATGCAAGGAAAGCCGCCAATGCATCACGGGCGCATGCAACCGCGTCAGCGGTCGGTGTGCTACGTGACACGGATCAGTGTCTTGTGTTCGCTCTGCGGCCCGTGCGAACAGTGCAGCGAAATCCCGACCGCGTGTCTGGCAACTGTGGCAACGACCAGCGCCTAGCCACAAAGTGCGCTCTGAACCGCATACATTATGGCCATGCCCTACCAGGTCTGGGCCGACTTAGCCGCTATCAGGTCACCTACGCTTTGCGACGGTGCCGGCTTCGGACAGAGCTGTGCTGGGCCGGACGTCGTGCCGGTGCTGGCCAGGGAGCTGCGGGGACTCCCCGTCACTCCCCGGTCTCCAAAACGACGCCATCAAGGAGGAACAAATCCCTCCAGCCTGTAAGCACACCGGCGCTTGCCACAAATATGGATTGGCTAAGCTCCATCAGTGCTTACATGGATTTTGAGTTTGTCATCAAGTATATTTAGCTCCAAACACAGGTTACTCAAGGTTGTAAAAGTGCAGTGGTCGCAGCATTCTCCGTCTGGAAATGGTTTCGTCCGAATGAATTAATGTTTCAAAATGCGCAATGATGCCACCGCGTACTTTTTACATCATCAGCGGAGTCGACAAACTTCATCTAAACAACATACAGTACGAGTGGCCTATTTGTGGTATTTAGCGCGCCAAAACGGAGAGCTTTTTACCATTACAATACTAATGCCCGACTCAGATAGATGTGACAGTCCGGTTTCTAGGCCCGGCACGCTCCGTGAAAATAAAAATGCCTGGTGGCTGGGCCGGCTGACCGTTGAAGGGCAGGCTTCCTGGTCCGGCCGGCTGACCGGAGGACAGGCGTCCTGGGCCGGCCGGAAAAATTTATGGATGAAAAATTGTCGCCAGTAGCGTAATACGACATCCTATGACAAAATGGTCATCAAGTCCATGCCACGTAGCGTCATTAGAAGTCACTGACGCCCAGTAGCGTCATTAGAAGTCATTCTATCACCGAAAGTCTCCGTCATCACTCCGATTTTCAATACCATGCACATAACCGAGACGTTCAATCATACACCGTCCTTCAACAAATGCCATGATCTGTGTTGCTGCTAGGAAAGCAGGCGCGCTTGCCCTAGACTAATGAAATACCCTAATCAAAGCAGTTTTCTCCCACCCTCGGGACTTGCCGAGGCCGTACGTTTGCCGATAATTCTGTTACGTCAGTCTCAGCGTTCATTCAGTGCTTGATCGCCAGCAAATGAAACTTTAGGACAAATGAACTCCCGAAACAAATATGCTTGATGGCTATGCTGCGTTGCACTTAATTTGTTTGTGATTTTTTTATTATTGCACTTAGAGGGATAAAGCAACAGTTTTCGAAAGATTTGACCCCAGATGGCAGTTCAGACGGTTCCAAATTTCGTCGGTGACAGAAAAGGCACTTTTTCGCCCCCGGTCTGCTTGACTGAGATCTCAGAAACTAACAGAGCCAGATACACTAAATTCACAGGGTGTGTTGGCCTGTACGTGAACTCATCTACGTCAAAGCTTTAGGTTCCAAGGCCATGAACTTCGGGCCAAATAAAGTCAGATAAGGTCAAGCACCAGACTGGTGTCCAGAGTGCCCCTAGACCGTCTCATGCAATCAATGCGAGCCTAGATACCTGTTCTGAGTGAAAGATCACTGATGCCCACTTAAGTTTAATAATCCTATGTGACCTTTCAAAGATAATGGTGAACAAAACCTGCTTTCATTTTTTCATTTGCATAAGCGTCAAGGATTGCGCTAGGCATTGTGTTCCTAAATTCTCAAAGCAAAGTGTTGGCCTGGGTCATTTTAAGTCACTGACCGATTCTGGCCTTTAAGAGGCGCATGAAAGGTGTCTGTTCTCAATAAATTCAAAATGAGCTGAGTGACGAAACAGATTGGTTTTGACTTTCGTCTGACCCTCATTTCTGATCCTAGGCCAATGAATTTGTTAATTCAGTTGTTGTGTTATATAGAAAACTATCACAGATATATATGGCTAACATTCCGTTGTTGCATCAGATTAGACGATCTGATGATATCTCAGGCCGTCAACAGCGCATCCAGCGTTGTGAAGCGCTACTCTGTCAACAGTAACAACTTACTTGCAAACAAACGCACTCACACTTCACCCCTCGACCGAGTAGGGAATGGGTATGGGCCATGTCGTCACAGGCAAGGAATGGTTTTACCCGAGATAGGGAATGAGGCTTCCATTTGCCAATGGCAACTGACCTCAGGGGGGCGGCTGAAGGCCGGGGCGTGCTGTGCCCTCCAGAAGCTGGTCGTCTTTCCGCACCGTGTTGAGTGTTCTTCGGGTATTAGTTCACCTTCGAAACCGTGCCCAATGCACCGCAAAACGTCTCGTTACGTGTCATTCGAGGATACGTGTCGGCCGATGAAGCCCGGGAACGCTACAGATTCAAAAGTGTGTGTAATGTTCCGGACACCAACTGAAGGACGGTTTCAACTGTGTAACTACCATGACAACGTCATTCGATGCATCATCGGCAGCCGTCCACTGTCTTACCGGCGGTCGATCACTCAAGCCAGCCACCGGCCATCGAGGCACCGTCACTGGTCTGCTGGTGTTGCTGGTGCTACCGCCACCGTCAGTCAGCCGACCGAGCCAGCCATTGGCCATCGAGGCACCGTCACCGGTCTGCTGGTGTTACCGTCACCGTCAGTCGGCCGACCGAGTAAGCCGTCGGCCATCGAGGCACCGTCACTGGTCCGCTGGTGTTACGTCACCGCCAGTCAGCCGACCGAGTCAACCGTCGGCCATCGAGGCACCGTCACCGGTCTGCTGGTGTTACGTCACCGTCAGTCAGCCGACCGATTATTGCTGTGAGCCAGCTGGCAACGTGGTTTGAATCTGGCCTGCACATTCGGATCGATTAGGACTCGTGTCCGAAAACATATCCGAAGCAGACACAGTGAAACATGTGGCTTTGTTACTTTAGCAAAGAAAAAACACTGCCGAACATTTTGACCCATTACCTTGCGTCTAAATGCAGGGATGGAAAGCTTCTGATTTACCGGATAGATTGGTGACGAAAAGTGACGCTTTTTCGAATCAATTGGCGACAAAATTGCGGAAGTGCAAACAACTTTCAATAGACAAAACCAGATTACAACTCACTATCCCAGCTAAACGAAACTCAAAGCTTAGTATTGATCTGTCCTCATCAACACTCGTACCGTGAACATGTGAAGAACACGTGTCGACGCATTAACGTTTCGTTGTATGAGCAGATTGAGCCATAAGATGCCGTCAAACAACGTAGCTTAAATCAGGATATCTCTAGCAGGTGCCAGCAATATACTACAGACCAGACTATGTCGGTGCTGACGTGACAGCTCAGCGGTGGCACGGTATTTTCCCTATGCCCCTTAGATCTGTGCTATTCACGGATTTTCAGCCAAGACTCACTTAATATATTAACAGTGCAATATACCAAATAGCTAGGCTTATCACTAGTCGTAAGGATCGTGGCTGGCCGCGGCATCTTGCGGCGAACATGATCAGAGTTCAAATCCTTGTGTTCAGGATACAAAGACTTACGCGATGCTACCGCCAAGCTAGCCCAGATTCAGGAGGGGTCCCGGCCCAGGAATGGCCTTTGGACCTGCGAGGCACCACGGAGGACGGTGCCCGCGGGCCGCCGCCAACAAATATTCATGAAATTAGCGACTTATGTGGCGAATGCCTGATAAATGGAAGTGCATAACGTAGTTCCCAGGGGGCCGGTGCCATCTTTAGGATACAGCCAAAATGCAGCCTTGTTCTTATAAAGTATGTATATTTGTAGAAAACGTGTGCCACCACAACATGTCCACCTGCGCCCTGTAAACAAAGTCGCACGCATCTGGCGGCTGTGGGCGCCACCCTCCGCTGTCCTTTATGACTAGACAGTACGCGGGCGCGGAGACAGATGCAAACGCCAGAGGCAGACAGCGATACCATCACCTACCAACGATGAAGGCCGCGTCATTGACACGGCTTGGGGCTAAACTCCAACCGCTGGAGGCTAGTGACCCAGCTGACCGAGGCTAGGGCCCCAGCGTTGGGGACCAGTCGCACGGTGGAGACGGGAGCACATACTTTGATGAGGAATATCGGTGAAACGACGCGAAAAGACGGAAGCGGAGCCTGGAAAGCACGCTTCACATCAGGGCAGACATACCATTCGCCCTTTAGATATTACACAACTGCCGCGAAAGTTTGTTTCACGGTCGATAAACCCCCGTGGCAATGTTCGCTGCTGTGCGCAACCATTTCCCATGATAACACTTTATTGTGATCCACTTTTAAATACAACCCTGCCTCTCGCTTAATATGGACGGAATCGTGATGAGTGGAATGGTTGATGATCAATGCATACCATATTCGTGATGTAGCATGATATAAACATTGGAACACTGGAGCCCACTCGCCCTCTTTAAAAATATACACAATATACGCTTCAGTATGACGTGATTTTCAACTATTCACACGTGTCTCACACATACGTCCACGATTCTGAGACGGGGGCAACATGTCTAGCACTTGGGACCGCAAGGAACACGCTGCAGCAGTGCACCCCCCTTCTCAGCAGTGAGGCGGCGGATACCGCCAGCGTCGATACTGGGCAGTGATGAGGCGTAGAGGATAGCGCCGCCAGACAACCTCACGCGAATGCACCGGCCGCTTCCGATCCGACGTGTGATGCTGCAGCGCCAGTATAAACATATCACAGATCAGGCCGGGCGTCCGTTCACTGGACGCCCGCCACTGGCCGGAGCGGCCGGTCTGCCGCCTGGTCAGCCGGAGCGGCCGGTCTGCTGTCCAGTCAGCCAGCTAGCCTTCGGTGGTGCGACCGGCGGGGGGCGCCCCCGCTCACATGGCCGTCTCGAGCGGCTGGGAGCGCGTGCGGCCCTGCTGGAAATAGTCGTCGGACGCCACACTGGGGCTACGCGGGAAGGGGTCGGCCGAGCGGGCCACCTGTACACCACCTGGCGACGGCGTCGGCTGCGCCGCTACGCCCTGGTACACGGGGATCGTGTCCGAGCCGGCGTCCTCGTCGCCGAACGGGCGCTTCAGCTCCAGCGTCGAGTCACTGCCGCCCGAATCGTCGGCCGCCGGGTGGGCTTTGCGGGGCTCCAGCTCGACGGCGGCGCCGGCGCCCGCCGCTTCCCACGGGGACGAACCCCGCGACGTGAAGGTAGATCGGTCCAGGTAGCCGCGATTCTCGTAGCCCATGTCGAAAGTGGGGTGCACCATCGCGTCTACGTTGGCGTTCTCCAGACGCGGGTCATGAGCAAACCGGTCGTCAAAAGTTGTCGTCGAGTGCGTCTCGTCGAACGACGGCTTGGTGATGGAGTCGATACTACCGCCGGTGGCGCCGTCTGGCATCGGGTTCGGCTGTGGGCGGACGGGTGGCGTCAGCGGGTTGACGTTTGTGTATGTAGGGGAGGGGATGGGGTGGGGAGGGTGGAGAGTCAACATTAACACAATGGTGGCATCGGTGATAACATCCATTACTAACCCCACAATTCCGTCCACTGCCCCCCCCCCGCGCAACGCCGTCTGTGGCCTCAATCGTGGCACCCTTCTTGCCCTCTTCACCCGGTTCGCCTTCTTGCCCTCGCTGCGTCTGGTGCCCTGCCCTCGCTCCGTCTGGTGCCCTGCCCTCCTGCCGTCTGTTACCAGGTCCTCACACCGTCGGGGGCCCTGCTTCCACAGGGTCTGCTACCCTGGCCCATTCCGGCCGGTCCCCTCTGGGGTCAGTGCCGGCGCCTGACTCACGTTCGGCCGTCGCCGGTAGCCGGTGCCGCCGGACACGTCCGAGAAGCTGCTGGCCAGCGAGCGGGTGCTGCGCACGCTGCTGCGAATGCTGTTGCGGCGCTGCAGCTTCTCACGGTGCCGGTGCCGCGACTTGGCCACCCACAGCACCAGGATGACGAGCAGGAAGAGCAGGGCCGCCGCGCCGGCGCCCAGCACGCCAATCACCACGTCGTCGCGCGTCCATGACAGCGGGTCGGCGTGCACGCGCGGGTCTGCGGCACACCGTCACAGGCCAGCCGTCAGGGCGGGCCAGGTCACCAGAGCCGATCTGCCTCACGTGGTGACCAGCAATGTCACGTTAGGTCGGGTCACGGCAGTGGAGCGGAAGCACACTGAGCTAGGAACTGCAAGGTCAGGTTAGGTCACACTGATCTGATGTCAGATCACGGGGCCGAAAACTTTTAGGTCAGGACTGCAACGAAGCGTGAACAAGTAACACCGATGGCACGCCCGCAAGATCCGGGATGCAAAGAGGGAGGATTCACTGTCCTCTGAGGCAAGATGTCTGCGGGAGGATGCTTTGCTGGCCGACTTTGAGGCTAACATCGTGCATTCCACTCGTAAAGATTTAAGCGTATTGCAGGAATACGTGACACGTGCGTTTTACAGAAGGGACGCATACACCCACGCCAGCGGAGGATGACCTTGACCTCTCAGTTCTGATAAACATAACATGCAATGTACATGCGCGCAATGCAGATATCACCAACTTCTTTCAGAAATGAAAAACATGCATGCGCACACAGAGTGCCGTTTCGGATCCTATGTCCGGCCGAGCTGTCTCGCGGGGACACATCGCACGCAAACGCCTCAGCGATATTCGTCATCATCGCCCGGGGCAGGTGGAGCACATGTCCACACCCGTCCGTAGGCTGTATTGTCCACCCGGGATGGTGCATCGCATTCATACACTTCGACCGATATCAGCGACTATTAATCTGATATGTCGAGAACGAATCGCTAGTGTGCAAGCTGGAGGCAACGAATTCAGGGTGGGACAGAGAGAGTTTCCTGACTGACTAAAATTGATCATTAATCCTTTGTCACTGTGTGCAGCCACATGACTCAAAACACGACTCTGCCCCCTCCCCTCCCGAGCAGGGAATGTCTGGCGGTCGCGGCGTGCTCTCCATGGACAATGTGGGTCGGGCCCGGGGTTCAGAGCCGACCGCCGAGTGCTGACCCATTTCGCAGAGGAAGGGCAGCTGGAGGTCACAGCGTCCAGTGACGACGCGCCGCTGCACGAAGTAGCTGCAGCCGCTGACTATGTCCAGGTGCTGCACCCAGACGCGGTCCAGCCGCCAGTTGTAGCGCTCCTGGCGGCCTCGGATGTAGCGCACCAGCTGATCGTAGTCGGTCCGCAGGTACGGCATCGACGCGTTGTCGTCCTACCGGCAGAAGAAGAGGCCGCTGGAGTGGGCGCGAGCGAGGCGGCGGCGGTGGCCACCGCTGGGGTGGGTGCGGACCAGAGGCGGCGGCGGTGACCACTGGAATGGGGGTAGGGCCAGCGGCGGCGGTGACCATTGGAGTGGGGGTAGGGCCGGCGGCGGCGGTGACCGCTGGAGTAGGGGTAGGGCCGGCAGCAGTGGCGGTGACCATTGGAGTGGGGGTAGGGCTGGCGGCGGCGATGACCGCTTGAGTTGGGGGAGGAGGGGGGGGGGGGGGCTAAACGGGGGTGGATGCGGCACCTCGGCAATCGCCTTGTTCAAATATTTAGGCTATTATCGCAAATTATTGTACTTTGTAGAAGGCAGGGATGGAACGCACTGCTCTCAGGGGTATCAAAACGTTGGTAAATTTTCATCCGTCCGTTTGTTACAAGCACGTTAATATCCTCGCCGCCCAGCCTGAAGTAATCACTCGCTGTTATCGTGACAACTCAGCGCAAACAGCCGAAGTTGCTTTCAGTAGGCCGACTCATTTACGCAAAACTGATAAACATCGCAACACGACGTTCGTCAGGTCCGGCAAGTCAATTGTTCCCGGATAAGGAGCCACCAGCCCCGCGTTCCCAGATAGGGAGCGTACGTCTCCATGTGCCCGGATAGAGGGCCCACGTGCCGGCGTTCCCGGGTGGGGAACTGACTTCACCGCGCTGCTCGCCCACGCCAGACGTCATCGAGCGGCGCGCGGTGGACGGACAGCTTACCAGACAGAACTGCTTGGCTTCGCTGAAGTTCAGGGGTGCCGGCATGTACATGAAGCAGGTGGTATCGACCAGAGTCCAGCCGGGCGGACACTTGCCGCTCAGCAGGGATCTGTTGTTCATGTGGAAGTTGCTGCGGACACCGGCCGGCCAATGGTCAGGCGCAGCGCACGACGGCCGCCGTCGATGTCGATGCACGTGCACAGAGGCCACCAGGCGCCTGGCTGCTCCCAAACCACGGCCGCCGTCGATGTCGATACACGTGCACACAGAGGCCACCAGGCGCCTGGCTGCTCCCAAACCACGGCTGCCGTCGATGTCGATACACGTGCACACAGAGGCCACCAGGCGCCTGGCTGCTCCCAAACCACGGCTGCCGTCGATGTCGATACACGTGCACACAGGGACCACCAGGCGCCTGGCTGCTCCCAAACCACGGCTGCCGTCGATGTCGATACACGTGCACACAGAGGCCACCAGGCGCCTGGCTGCTCCCAAACCACGGCTGCCGTCGATGTCGATACACGTGCACACAAGGACCACCAGGCGCCTGGCTGCTCCCAAACCACGGCCGCCGTCGATGTCGATACACGTGCACACAGGGACCACCAGGAGCCTGGCTGCTCCCAAACCACGGCTGCCGTCGATGTCGATACACGTGCACACAGAAGCCACCAGGAGCCTGGCTGCTCCCAACCACGGCCGCCGTCGATGTCGATACACGTGCACACAGAGACCACCAGGCGCCTGGCTGCTCCCAAACCACGGCCGCCGTCGATGTCGATACACACGCACACAGAGACCACCAGGCGCCTGGCTGCTCCCAAACCACGGCTGCCGTCGATGTCGATACACGTGCACACAGGGGCCACCAGGCGCCTCCAAATCAGTATCAGTCCTGCACCCGGGGTCATACTTGAAGCTGCATTTCCCACTGCCAAGTCTGGGGTAAGGAATGCCTCGCGTCATTATTCGGCAAGCGATTGTAGCGGAACAACGTTGGTCGGTAAATAGACATGTAGGCAGATGATAGATAGACATGTAGATAGATGATAAATAGACATCTACTAGGTGGTAAATAGACGATAGACATAGACATAAAACGGCATGTCAGTGATGCGGTGCACAGCCACGTGTGTCAGTGATGCGGTATGCGCACCGTAACACGGACGCGTTCGTGAAGACGTAAGGCCTTCTGAGCACGGGCCGCCACGGCAGGCAGCAGGCTCTCCCACCTGAAGTTGACTTCCAGCAAGCCCTGGCCGTCTAGCTTGTCCTTGATGCGTCCCTGGATGGCTAGCGACTCGTTGTAGCCCCACCAGTTGTGGCGGGCGTCCAGTGGGGTGCGCCACACCTCATACCTGCCGCGCCGCCAAATAACGCCTCAGCACGCCGGGTCGCTCTGCGAACCGGGGGCTGCCCGGCCACCCCGCTCGGCACGCCCGCCCCAGCTGGGGTCCGATTGATGTGACATAACCCCGTGCAAGCTGAACAGTGAGGCAACCCCGACTTTCACAGAAAATGGGTGGCGTGGCTGGCAAACACTGCGCCAGCGCCACCGGAGACATGTCGGGCAGCTGCGGCTTCCGCGGTTACGATCAATCGGGAAATCCAGCTCCGGCCTCCGCGGATACGATCAATCGAGAAATCCAGCAGTCAGCAGCACCGCAGAGCACTACAGCAGTACCGCTGACCGCGAACAGGCACCATCCCGGCAGAGTGGTGGCGCTTTCCATGACGGTCATCGCAATAGCAGCCGACGAACATGCCGGTCCTCCGACCTTAAGAGGGGGCCAGGACGTCAGGGGCACGAACGAGCGCGCAGCAAAACACCAGTGCAAAGAGAGAAACTCACCTATAGTTCGAAATTTTAAGATCTTGCCTGCGAACAGAAGGAAGATGTTTCAGTAAGCCACGTGCGCGTGCCATGATATGCGGCGTGCTCTCTCAGAACCCAGCAAGCGAGACCAATTTGGTGTACCCGGCGCTTTCACGCCCCCAAAAGTCGCACCACCATCATCCGCACCCCTGTGCACGCACGCACGCACTCACGAACATAGCTAGGTGTGCTTGTGCATGGAGCAAAGGCTGTGTGCGTGTGTATCTGGTGGCAGACTGACAGATTGTGCAACAACTCAGTGCATAGCAGGGCTCTTCATGGATTTGATTTCCAGGATCAATTGGAACTTAGTCTATCAGTTCTAAACCCAATCCACGCGGATCCAACCCGTCCAGTCTGTCAGAGCAGCAACAGAAACACAGCCCCACACCGCGGGAATCAGCCCCACACCGTGGGAATCACAGCCTCACACCGTGGGAATCCTGCATGTTTCAGCCCAGCTGAACACGCAACGCCCAATTAAGTGCACATATTTTATGGATTCATATCCCCAATAGAAAACTTCCTCCACACCCTTCACGACGTCCCAATCCGTTTGAACAAATTCCAAGCCCTTACGGCAGATTCAAACTCGTTCTCGGCCAATTTTAGTTAGTCCCGAAAGCATGGCTTTCCCAGTTATTAAAGGGCTCTTGTACATGCAAATAGCTAACAAACGTCCCACTGAATGTACTTCATATGCCAAGACGTGGACAAATCATGAAAACTACCACTCGTTCTTGCATTTTTGAATTTGGCACCCTCCCTGCCACTTGATGCATCAGCTTTTGCAGCATTGATTGTGCATTATTTCCAATTTGTTATCATTAACGATACCAAAACCGTTCAGAATGCAGTCAGAGCCATCGTTCCCTGTCACGCATCTTGCCTTTCCTGTCCTTGCAATGTTTGTGCATTTGACACGACAAACGTGGTCTGCAATGGGCTAAGAGCTATCATATCGGCAAACACAAGCACTCATTGGTTCAGCACCTAAACTGACGTCGGAACATCATGGAACACACTGACCATCTATCTTCTACATCTCTCTATGACAATTATGCATGGCCTTCAAGGCGTGACCGATGGTTGTTCACCATCCATTAGATAACATGAAACTCGTTTTGATAAAAAATTGGCGTTAGACAGAACCTAGCTGTGGATGTGAACAGACAGTGTTTTGTCTAGATGTCGAGCCACAGCACACGACGGCAATGCCAGGCGCTATCATATTTCAAAGCGATGTTAAGTTAAGTCAATGATAAGGAAGGCCTCAAAATTTCCGCGCTCTTACTGAAACGCTTCGGCGATAATCGCAAAGAGAAACGTGACACGCGAATCACGTAAATAGACGAAACGTACCATGAGAAATCATCAAGCCAAAGGGAACGCTGCTATATCTTGGATCACAATCCGAAAACAGAAATACAATGTTTTCCAATTTTTATGCGAAGTAGAGTAGCGCTCCCTTGACATATTTTGGTCCTTGTATGGAATGCGCGGCCATTCAACGTGTTTTGTGTATGATTAGCTGAGAACTGACTCAAAGAGGCTAAAAACTAATTAGCGAACGGTTTCGGGAAAGGTGGGGGAAATGCAGCGGGGACTTCATGTACCGGCCGAGTCGGCCCGTACATGAAGATAGGCTTGACGGTGTAATGAGCTTTGACTCCCAAATTACACCAGTGCTCCCTCCGACACATCCCTACGGTATTCAATGAAAACATAACGGCAGGCACCTCGCAGTGAGCCCCGCCCGCCCTGTCCCCGTGTGGACGCATGCCCACTCACTGCGTGCGGTTAATGGTGACCAGTTCGTAGTTGTTGTGCGGGTTGACCAGCACGTTGTCGACATACTGCTGGCCGGCGCTGCCCGCCAGGATGGTGGTGCGCTCCTCCGGATCCGTGGCGTGATTCCTGCGCCGGCCGGCGGAGGTCCATAGTCAGCGGCCGCCGACGGCACGGCGTCCCAGTCACAGCGGCCAAGCGACGCTCTCAATAAGTGCGTTGCTTCATCGCATCCTTATCGTATCCCACCACCACCACGTTTTAAGCCCCTGTCCCCCTCTTTCGCCATCTGATCTGTGTCCTATCCAGACGCCACCACGTCCTAACCCTTACTCCCTCTCTTTCGCCATCTAATCGGTCACCAGATGCACCACACCGAACGACTGGCCACAGCCACAGTCGCAGTGCAGTGAGTAAATCTGGAAGTGGAATGCAAATGTAATCGAACTTGAAATATACACCTTTTTGCATGCGTGACCCAAGCGGTTGTCTCGAACAGCACTACGACGCTCCCAGGCCACAAATGACTGGAAGTTTCGCTTACCACAAGAAGCCGTTGTGCGCGAAGTTCTGGTAGATGGGCAAGTGGACGCGCTCGAAGCCGGATACCTTCATGATGTGGAAGCCGTGATTGTTGTGTACCAGATTGTAGCTGAAGTTGGCGACCACCTGCGATATCATAACAAGGACAAGTCAATACAAAATACATACTCTTAGGAGTCATCGCCTCAAGGGAATGAAGCAGTGAAAAATGATGTCGGCTACATCGTTGAAGACAACAGCATGTTCTCCGGATTCACACCAAATATTCATTTTAACCAGCTGTTCCATCCATGCGCTTCACCTCTCTGCAAAGTTTAAGTCTTGGCATGGGTTCTGTGGAGGTTATGTACAGTCACTTGGCATATATATACTCTTGTATATATATATATATATATATATATATATATATATATATATATATATATATATATATATATATATATATATGGGGATGTACAGTTGCGTGCGTGAGTACGTGAGTGCGTGCGTGCGTGCGTGTGCGTGTGTGTTTATGTTTGGTTGTCGCCACCAAAGCAGTAGCAACCAGCAGGTGCATCACAAAAGTAACATTTTAGGTTGATCAGCACGCAGTGGAGAATACGACAAAAAACAACAGTAAATTAGACCTGCAGAGACAGCCAGCTTTCTCATTTCCACCACTCATACATCGCTGTTTCAGATATCCTACCTGGGCGAATTCCAGCACGTTTTGATATGTGCAGTTGGCGCGGGTGAAGTAGTTGTAGTAGAGGATGGCCTCCTGGTACGGTGACGTCTTGCGCCCCTCCACATAGAGCGTGGACCAGCCGTCGTTGTCGCTGAACAGGTTGAGGTAGATGTAGGCCTTGAGCGCCGTGGCCAGGCCGCTGGAGTCGGCGCGGATCCGCAGTCCACCCTGGTTGTGCTGCAGCACGTTGTTCTGCCGGCAACCATCACGACCGTGGAATCGCGTGCAAACGAGCGTCTAGTTTCACCAAATGTTTGTCTCTCTCGCGTCAACCCGCATCACCAGCATAGGCGGACAGGAGCCCTCTTCACTGCAGGTAGTACAAATATGTGCTCAACAGCGATGATGTGCCCAGAGACAGCCCATTCCGTGCGAGAAGCCATTCGAACTTGAATGCACCAGCTTCGCCGCCACCCTGCCTTCAGCCCCGCCTGACAACCCACCCGATCCGTCTCCGTCCGCCCGGGCCGCCCTGTCAGCGGCACCCACCGTGAAGTAGAGGTGCTGCGTGTTCTGCACGTCCACGTTGACGGCGGCGCGACTGGAGGTGAAGTTGCCGTAGAGGCGACGGCCGTTGCGCAGCAGCCGGTTCCACTCGAGAGTCAGCGTCGGGTTGATCTCGCCGGCGTTCATGTAGGAGATGCCGCCGCCCTCGTTGTCGGATATCTCCGAGTAGGAGACGTTGTGACGCACGTCCCGACCTGGCGACAGACACGAAAAAAACTTAAAACTTATGAAACTTAGGAAACTTACTTACGGCACATGTTGTGCTATGCTCAGTTGAGGACACGGCTGGGGCACACTTCAACTCTCAGGATAGAAACAAACGTGACAGTACCTTCGGTCCCAGGAGCCTGGATGCACAACAACAGACCCGTGTGAGAAACACCAACTCCGACCAGATTTCAAAAGTAGAGTTGGTTCACGCCGTTATCGGAAGGACGCAGCCGCGGTGGAGCAAGAACATGCGGCGCCACTCACTAAAGCCAATCGAGGAGACGGGCAGCGTGACGACCTCGGCGATGAAGCCGTGCCTGCTGCCGGCGCCGCTGGCGTGCAGCTGCACGCTCAGCGACGTCTCGTTGGTGGTGTGGAAGACGGTGGGGTCGGCGGCGTCGGCCGTCAGCTCCGCCAGTCGCCGGGACGTCACGTTGTAGATGTCGCCGTCGTACAGTCGGAGGAAGTCGGGAGTCAGCAGCGGCTCGTCGGTCGAGTTCACCAGGTTAAACTGCAGCAGCCTGCGGCATAGGTGCTGGTTAGGGCGCAGCTACAGGCATGATTGTCACAGTAAAGGCGAGGGGTCACAGGCACAGGCGAGAGGGCCACAGCTGCAGGCGAGAGGGTCACAGCTACGGGCATGAGGGTCACAGCTACGGGCGAAAAGGTCATAGCTAAAAGCGAGAGGGTCATAGCTACAGGCGTGAAGGCAGTAGTGCGACCAGAGCAAGGGTGCGTAAGCCAAACTACAGCATCAGGCACGCAGGGCAGGCCAACGCGTGTAAGCGTCTTTATCGACAGGTACGGTGTGGTACTCTGGAAAGCTGAAGCGTATTAAAGGCGCTTAAGACCAGCACGGCGTATGTCAAAAAATGTAAATACCAGATCACGGCAGGACCGGCCATCATCAAGGCCAAGCATGACTGTGCTGCAGACAAGAGCACTGTTAGTGTCCAGACTGTGACAGAACACCGACTGCTGACCAGATAAGCTGTTACGGACTACATCTCAGGCAGAGGCTGGCTGACATAGACCGGCCACTTGCCTAAATCCAAAGGTTTTGATGCGGGCGGCGGATGTGAAAATCTTGACGCAGTCCACTGGTCTGTTGTCGTACTTGTAGTAGACCAGGATCCTCTCCTGCACTTGGATCTCCTTGTGCGCATCGCACATGTCCACCATGCCTGTGGGACGGGCGTCAGGGGCGTCAACACTCAGCGTCGCGGCAGCTCGCTGGGCAAGCAAAGTGAAGCGAGAAACGACTACGGCCGACCGCACCGGCAGGCCTGTGCTTCAAACGGCGCTCACGCCAGCCGCCTGTCCAATCAGAACACCCTCAAACGGCACTCACACCAGCCGCCTGGCCAATCAGAATGACTTAAAACAGCGCTACACCAGCCATCTGTCCGGTCAGAACGCCTTCAAACGGCGCTCACGCCAGCCGCCTGTCCAATCAGAACACCCTCAAACGGCATTCACACCAGCCGCCTGGCCAATCAGAATGACTTAAAACAGCGCTACACCAGCCATCTGTCCGGTCAGAACGCCTTCAAACGGCGCTCACGCCAGCCGCCTGTCCAATCAGAACACCCTCAAACGGCACTCACACCAGCCGCCTGGCCAATCAAAATGACTTGGAACAGCGCTACACCAGCCACCTGTCCGGTCAGAACGCCCTCAAACGGTGCTAAAACCAGCCACCTGTCCCATCAGAACGCCTTCAAACGGCGCTCACACCATTCGACAGCCCAATCACGCATTAAACGCCGCTCACATCACCTGCCTGTTCAGTCAGAACACCTTGAAACGGACAAGTTGAGGAAGATTAACGGGACGTAAATTTCAGCACCTCGCACTGGCTTACCACTCTAAACAGTCCAAACAGTAAAGGAACTCATTTGCTCACCAAATAGGTTGTAGGGCAAGGCAACCTGCTGGATGGGGACGAACGAGCTGCGGCCCGAGCTGCGCGCCTCGCCCGTCAGCATGATGGTGTTCATGCCGATCCCCAGGTTGTGGTGCACCCTGACAATGTGTGGCACAGTGTCATCAAGGCGGCACGGCGCCCGAGCCAGACACAGGCAGGTCAGGCCATGAGAGAGCGGCCTACTCATGGGAAGGAGATAAGTCACTATAGTACCTGCAACCCAAGAACCGGCATCAACAAGCGATGCAAACTTGACAACAGGCGTTGAGCTGTCGTAGTTATTTTACCACCTGAGCTGACAGAAACGAATACAACATCAGCGACGGCTTCTCGGCTCAAAACAAGTTATTCTCAAGCCTCGGCACTCGGCTCCCGGCCTAGGATGGCGCGTGAGAATGCCGTTTTGCCACCTGTCCGATACGGCGGTGACGGGCAGCGCGGTCGGCCGCCGTAGGCCATGGTCACGAGGCGCCTGGCTCACCAGAGGTGCATGAAGTCCAGTGAGTGTGTGGGGTTGACCACGGTGACGCCATCGCTCAGGCTATTTCTGACGGTGACGGCGCGCACGTCAGGGGACATGAACACGCTGAGCACGGCCGGCGACTTCTCTCCGTGCAGCCAGCCGGCGCCGACCACGTCCACGAAGTGCAGCTGAGACTGGCGGGTGCGGCGGCGGCCGTGCGTCTCCACATCGTGCAGCCGCTCGAAGAACGACTGCACCTCGAAGCTGGGCGTGGCGAAGCGCACCCCGCCCCAGGCCTGCGTCGTGTCGTTGACGTTGCTGTCGCCGCACTCGACGAAGACGTAGCGGTCGCGCCAGTGGCAGCGCGGCACGGCGTGCAGCGGCCGGCCGGTCATGCGCAGTCGACAAGCGCTCAGCTCGGCCTCGGTGCCGGCGCACTCGAGCGGCTCCGGCCAGGCCGTGACCAGACTCACAGAGCTGGCGTGGAACTCGGCCCGCCGGCCGTGGCGCAGGTGCACGTTCACCGTGGGCCGTCCCAGCTGGCGGCAAACCACCTCGGCGTTGCGGTCCGAGAAGCGCCGGTCGCACACGGGCACCCACTGCACCGTGGTGGCGTTGAAGAGCTCGAGGAAGCCGGCGTGGCCGCCGCAGCGGCCGGCGGCGCACAGACGCAGCCGCGTCGGCCGCTCGTCGTGTCCCCAGAGCTGGCGCTGCGCCAGGGCGCGGCCCACGCGGTAGTGCACCTCCTGGCGCGACAGCGGGCGCAGCGTGACGCGCCGCTTCTCGTCGCCGACGGCCAGCAGCGTGCCGAGCACGAGCAGGCCGACCGACGGGTAGAACTCGAGCGTGACGCCCGGCTCCAGACGCAGCGTGGCGCCCGGCAGCACGGTGATGTCGGACCGCACCACGTACGGCTGCGGCCGCCACCTGCGGCAGAGCGCGGCCAGGCTCAGCGGCGGCGCGGCCACCGCACACAGTCCAACACACGGCCACCGGACACAGCCCAGCAAACGGCTACTCTACACAGTCAACACACGGCCACCGGACACAGTCCAACAAACGGCTACTCCGCACAGTCCATCACATGGCCACCCTACACAGTCCAACACACGGCCACCGGACACAGTCCAACACATGACCACCGCACAGACCAACACACAGTCACCCGACACAGTGCAGCACACGGCTACTGGGCGGCGCACACAGTCCAATATACGACCGCAGCACACATTCCAACACACGACTGCCGCACACATTCCAACACACGACTGCCGCACACATTCCAACACACGACTGGCGCACACAGTCCAAAACGTGCGTCACAAATGGGACAGCCGCCAAAGGATCGGAAACCCATGCTGCAATATCGCATTGTCATGGTCAAACATATTTCTATAGTAATGATATAAAATTATTTTACAGTTAGCGGTCACCAGAGATGTTGTAATATTACCAGTGCCAGGAGTGTCTGGCTCCTCTGGCGGGTGGAGGTACGCAGCAGTCGGGTGGTAGCCCGAGCCACAAGCCGGTGCCGGACGGCCAGCGCACTGCACTCACCTGAGGGTCAGGTTACGCCGTATCCGGCCGCCCAGGTTGTCTGGGTCCGGCTGCGGCTCGCGCTCCAGCTCGCTCTCCTCCGGCCCCGCCAGCGCGTCGGACGTCAGGAACGGACTGAACTGGGCGATGGCGTAGCTGTTCCAGTCGTCGAAGTCGAAGATGCGCTCCCGGATCTGGTGCGGGTCGCGCGTGCCCCACCAGTTGTGGCGGGCCACCAGCTCGGTTGCCAGACTGGAGGAGCGCGTGCCCGCCAGGAACTCGTAATCCATCTGGTTGCGGCCGAAAAGATTGTGCGTCACGTTAACGCGCTGCACGCCGCGCACTTCGATCACGTGGCTGGCCGGGAGGGATGGCGCCGCGGCCGTCAGCGGCTGCTCGTTGAAGCGCACCTCGTTGCGCGTGAGGCTGGCGCTGACGTGGCCCTGGATCTCCGACTGGCTGTCGATGTCCACCTGCACCATGAACCGGCCCGTGTTGCGCCGCATGGTGTTGCCCGCGATCAGCAGCTCCTTCTCCATGCCACGCACCGACAGCAGGCCCGCGTCCCGGCCACACACGTTGTCCGAGAACGTGTTGCGCAGCAGCTGCAGCCGCGCGAAGTGGCCGCCGATGACGCCCTCGAAGTCGCGATTGGCGGAAAACGTGTTGTCGGCGATGTAGACCGAGTGGGTGAAGTTCTCGTTGTACTGCCACACGAACGGCAGCGTCAGGTCCAGGCCACCACGGCGGTTGGACGTAATGGTATTGTTGTCCAATACCCAGTGGAAGAGGTTGTTGGACAGCCAGTGATCCCTGTAGCAAAAGATGGACGTCAGCTCAGTTAGGAAATAATTTAGCACCAATGCGCACATAACACAAAAATATGCCACCATGACCGCTAACATGCAATGGAGGCACAACAAATATTTTAAAAATCTGGATAACGGTCGGCTACCCTGAAACGAAAACAACGGAGACCCGAACGCCGCCCGTCGTACACCTGACGATGGCGAGAGCCAGCACCGGACCAGGCCGACGCTGCGCGCACCTGGCGAACTGCCGGACGCCGGCGCCGTTGTTGTCGACCCTGGTGCGGTTGATAACGACAGTCAGCTCGGAGATGTTGCGCGACACATCCTCTCGGTACGGCGACAGCAAGAAGACGGCTTCCTCGCGGCTGCCAGATATCTCCGAGTCGTACAGCTCGATCGACGCGTTGGCCTTGCGCAGAAACAGCTCGCCCTGGTCGCCGCGGTACCTGCAGACGCCAGCACGGATGAACCAACCGCCCCACACTGACCTGCTCAACCGGACAGGGCGACGGTACACATAACGAATGCGGCACACAATCTTACCCAACGTCAGCACAGAGTACATTTACTAGGGAAATATTGTGATGGCTAGGCATCCGTTTTACTGTTGAAGAGACAGAGCCTGCCAATGACCAGTTTTTAGGTAAACATGTAGAACGCTTAGGCATACTCTCCCGTGCAAATTTATGTCTCACTTTTGCTACGAGCTTTCTCTGGTTTGCAATAATCAGGAGGTTTTGGACTTAACATGGGTTCGTACGCCCTGTATGGCAGAAGACTGCAGAAGCCGAGCTTTCATTATTTTCGTGTTTGAGCGCACAGCCTTACAGCCATGCATGATGACAACACTTTAGTTGTGAAGGCTTTGTATGGGACTGATGCAATCATTTTATGCAACTATAACCTCCCAGTCTTTCCAGGAAAAAGTCAAAATCATTCAGCGTTGCTGGTAGACATGTATCTTAATATAGATGTCCTGTCCGAACAGCACGTGACTGCATCGAGCCTCGAACGGCTAGCTACGACGCCAGGCCAGACCTGTTGTAGAAGAATGCCGAGAGGCCGTGTCGGTTCTTCCTGATGAGCGAGTTACGCACACGCAGCCTCGGCACCCTGCCCAAGGCCCGCCGCCACCGGAGCAGCGACGTCGGTCGAACCTCCCGCACGTCAGTGCCTGGCGGGCGGACGGGGGCGTGTCAGGCCGCCGGCGCGCGGCGGACGGCAGTCAGCCGGGCTCGGCGCCGCCGTCAGCTGGCCGGGGCTGCTGAGCCCCAGAGGGTCAGCAATCGGCCGGACACTGAGACAGGGTGTCAGTCGGCGGCCGGGGCTGCCGAGCCCCTGAGGGTCAGTAGCCGGCCGGACACTGAGACAGGGCGTCAGTCGGCGGCCGGGGCTGCTGAGCCCCCGAGGGTCAGTAGCCGGCTGGACACTGAGACAGGGTGTCAGTCGGCGGCCGGGGCTGCCGAGCCCCTGAGGGTCAGTAGCCGGCTGGACACTGAGACAGGGCGTCAGTCGGCGACCGGGGCTGCCGAGCCCCTGAGGGTCAGTAGCCGGCTGGACACTGAGACAGGGCGTCAGTCGGCGGCCGGGGCTGCCGAGCCCCCGAGGGTCAGTAGCCGGCTGGACACTGAGACAGGGTGTCAGTCGGCGGCCGGGGCTGCTGAGCCCCCGAGGGTCAGCAGTCGGCTGGACACTGAGACAGGGCGTCAGTCGGCGGCCGGGACTGCCGACCCCTTGAGGGTCAGCAGTCGGCTGGACACTGAGACAGGGTGTCAGTCGGCGGCCGGGACTGCCGACCCCTTGAGGGTCAGCAGTCGGCTGGGCACTGGGACAGGGTGTCAGTCGGCGCCCAGCGCCTCTCGCCAGTGTCCAACTACGGCTGCTGGCGGCAGCAGCGGAGGCTGACCACCAAATAAATCTCACACATGTCGGTGGGCAGCAACGTCAAGCAACGGATGTGTGCAGTGGACGTTCAGCGTCTGACGTCTGCCCACAATGTCAACATTGGTCAGTCATCCAGACTCCCGTCCGCTCGTGTGGCGGTCCACTTACGTCTGACGGCTGTCAGGAGGAGGACGACGCCGCCGCTGGCTGGACCGCGCGTCACGTACCGCAGCGTGATCTGGTAGCTGGACGAGCTGATGGGGAACGCCAGGAGGTCCCGGCGCAGCTGCCACGTCTGCCGGCCGCAGACAGTAGACGCGTCAGCAGCGGCAGGGCAGCCGGCTCAGAACTCAGCCAACACACGACCAGCGCGTCGGTCGCGGCAGACCAGCCGGCTCAGGACTCAGCCACGGCAGACCAGCCGGCTCAGAACTCAGTCAACACACGGCCAACACACGGCCAGTGTGTCAGCCAACACACACGCGCGCGCACGCACGCACGTACGAATCCACACCTACGCCCACGCCCCTCCCCCCTCACAAACGCACAAACACATGGCGCGCGCATCAGCCATGGAGCTCTACCAACACATGGACAGCGAGCCAACCCTCTTTCAAGGACATCACTGTTCCGCCCCCAAGTGCACTTCCTAGAAAAATGGTCTTCATTTGAGATAATTCCCGGTAGAACAGACAGTCGACAGCAATGTGATTATTCACCACAGCCTCCAATATCGCCGAGCACTATGACTTTGCGTGGGCTTTTCTTCTGCAAGTGCACTGGAAACATCGAATACTGAACTTGCCGTCAAAAATGGAAACACCAGCGAAACACCGAGCTTCTAACGGCACACCAGCCGTCGACAGATGAGCTGGATGTCCACGACAGCTGCGTTAACACCCTGATTCCAGCCCACTCACCACAGCGCTGGGTCGGACCTCGTAGAAGTCGTAGATGTGAAGGTCCTCCGACGAGTCGTCGGCGCCCGGACTCAGCACCTGGATCCCGATGACGTTCTCTCGCGACGTCTAAGAAGACCATGGAAAGCACTGTCACCAGGCCGCAACAGAAGTCCCGTACTTCTCCGTCCATCGGAGAAGGCCATGGGAAGCACCGTCACCAGGTCACGACAGCACTGCCGTACTTCCCGGTCCAACGCACCCAGCGCGAATTTTCCACCCGATAAAGTTGGAGGCGAATCCCGCGGAAGGCACAGTTGGGGTAACCAATGGAAGCACAGTTGTCTAACAGACATGCCTGTCATTTTAGAACGTTGCATGCCACCTTGTACTCCCACCATCGAGCCGGTGGTCCCATGTCCCAGCCGTCCTCAGCGGACCGGTGTCAGGTCCGGCGGCCGTCCTCCCCTGGGCCGGCCCGCTCTCTCACCGTGACGTAGAAGACGCGCTCGGTGGCGTCCTGGCTGCCTTCTGTCACCAGGTAGGTGGGTTTGTAGAGGTCGAGCTCGAGCCGGGTGGCGGCCGACGGCAGGCTGACACGCCTCTCCCGCGCCAGGCCCACCCAGCCAAGCAGCTCGCGCCGCTCGTGACGGCTCAGCGCCGGGTCATAGTGCAGGCCCGACTCGCCGTTCTCCTCCACCAGACAGTCTGCGCGGCGGCGTCAGGCTACGCTCAGCCGGGGCCGCCAGCCGGAGCGGCGCGGCACGCGGACAGCACCACGCCGACGGCAGCACGTCACGGGTGGTGCGAGCGGGCGCCGCCCGAACGATACGCGCGATTATTGTCAACCGTGTTGTCAGCCATGTGTTGTGTTGTCAACAGATGAAGGTTAACCAAGTGTCAAAGCCCACCCCGCAAACAGAAACGTGAAATTCGGAAGGCTCTGGAACGGGACATCAAGAGCATCTATCCTATCACATATTTCCAAACGCACTACGCTAGCGAAACAAGGCTGCCCAACAGCGGAGAGATAAGCGAGAGCACACGGAGGTGGCCTGATCGGCACGAAGTTGGCTCGACTCGACTGACGTCACTCACCTGTCATCTCCATCCAGAGCGTTCTCATGGAGATGCCGTGGCCGCGGTTCATCTTAGCCTCGACGCGCTTCAGGTGGTTGACATAGTCGATCTTGAATACGTCGGAGAACATGACGCCCACGCCGTCCCCGTCATTGTTTGTCAGCACCACCGACTCCAGCACGTGGTGATTGAAGTCCATTCGCAGCGCTGTGGTAGGTGAGAGATCACGCTGAAGCGTTGGGGAGCGGCACACAGGTTAGAAGCACTGAATATATGCACCGGCAGTTCCAGTACGTCAGTGCCAAGGCTTACTCAAGTTCAAAGTGGTCCAAGAAGCTTGGAGTTTGCGAGGCATTTCGGCTTGCTTTCCATGGAGCAAAAGCCATGCATGTCGAAGCATTATTCACAAAAGATGATCTAAGTTTACGGTTGGGAGATCACTCATCACGGTTTTACTCTTCGCATTTTCACCCTGTGATTGGGTCCATGCATTCACTGAGTTGCTTAAAATCAATGTATAAGGCTATACCCCGACCTTGCTGTCTTCTTACCGAAGCAGCCATCACTACTGGGAAACAAAAATGGTACAGACAATATATACTTGATCACAAGCACCGGCTACCACCAGCAAGCTTTGCCCTGTGATAAGAGCCCAGCCACACCGCGCAGCTGCGTCCCGAGATAGCTCTGCTCTACAACACGACAGAGTGACTAGCCGGCGCCAGAAGCTATTGTCCTCACTGAGAAATGACACGTCACGTGCCACCCTCCAAACGCTAGGTGCTAAGCAGTCGGAGGCTTCAGTTTGGATACGGCGCAAGCCCGAACAGTTCAAGAGTCCGTTCCCGGGGCATACCACTACCGAGCGTGAGCCCGAGCCGCGGTTCATCACCCTTTCACCGGAGCCCCTAAGTGCTCGCATGTCCCTCCCCCTTCCCCGTCTCACTGGGAGACAGTGTCGCGGCTTCTGCCCTCTAGCGGCGCCAGCGCGTGCGAGTGACGTGGTCTGCTTCCCGCCAGGGCCGCCCGGCGCCCGGCCGTCTCCCCGCTCACCAGGCCCGAATGTGTAGGTGGCGTGATCGATCAGCCCGGCGTGCTCCAGCCAGACGTTCTTCAGGATGTTCTTTTCGGCGGGCAGGCCGAACCGGACGCCGGCCCAGCTGACATCGGAGCAGCGCAGCGCCACGTCCGCCTCGTGCGGGCACGTGCGCTCCAGCTCGTCAGCCGACTCGTGCTGACACCGGGTCACGTCCGTGTCGGTCACCGAACACCGCACCGAGCTGCCGGTCAGAGGTCACCGTCACCAAGACCGCCGTAAAGGTGGATGGGCCTACTGTACAGTAAACACCTCGTGTGAGACAGGAGAGCTGCCGTCAACAACATCAACGCTTCCGTGGGGTGACCGTGTGTTGGTTGGTGGGCGGCAGCCGGTGGCGCACCTCATGAGAACGCGCGAGTCGAGGCCCTCCAGCGGCACCTGAGCCCGCTCCAGCCGCCAGTCCAGCGGGTTCAGCACCCAGCCCAGCTGGCGGCATACCAGCGCCGCATTCAGCACGCTCCAGCCGTGGTCGCACACCGTGCCCCACTCGTTGTTCAGCAGCACCTGCCGGCAGCGGATGTGGCGTCAGAGCGAGGAACCGACGGTAGGATACGGCGGCCCGCGAGCTCTTCAGCACACCCCACACCAATCAGGTGGCGTCAGCGCGCTCAAAGTCACGGCAATGTAAGTAACCATGAAAGCGGGCACGTCTATGAGGCCATGATCGCTGACATGATGTGAAAGATGGCCAATAGCCCTGGAAAGGCGGCTAAATGTTCCCTTCTCAGCAGTATCACAGTCAGTCTGACCAGGGTGCGGTAGTGCGCCAAAGTCAACCTGACCAAGGTGCTGTAGTGCGCCAAATCCCATGTGACTAACCTGCAGGCGGCCCTCGCGCTCGGTGCGGCCGCCCACCAGCCGGACGGGCGCCAGGCTGACGTTGTCCCGCTGGTCACGCTCCTGCAGACTGAGCGTGACACGCTTCTCCTCGCTCATGGAGGATCCCTCGGCGTGCAGGTGGCCGGCCACCATCATACCTGAGATCAGCGGACGCCGCTCAGCACAGTTGGACGCGACGCTCCCCTTCGAAACGAAACCCCCAAGCTGCGACGTGCCCAACCACAAACTAGATGGGAAGGCAGTGGCGGACACATATCGAATGGTGGGATGTTGAAAATACGCCTAGGGCTGGATAGAGGTTCCAGAAGGCGGGCCCGGAGAGGGAGAAAGAGTGATGTGCTTTCTTCTTACGAAGGGCCTGCCCTAGCCCGTTACCGCTCCATCATGGGTCTGGGAACTTTAGGAAGGAACTTTATCCCCTTGCCTTGCGTGCGCCCTGCCCTGATGTCAACGATCATCCTGTCGTCTCCGCCGTTGAACCTCCCATTTTCCCCAGGCCTTGGTGCACACCCTGTCCCCGCCCCTAGCCCAGCATGGTCTGGGCCGCCGCTCCGACGAGCACTCACCGACGCTGTGCTCAAACTCGAGGCGCACGCCGAAGGCCACGGTCAGGCGCGCGCCCGGCCTGACGTAGATGTCACGGGTGACCGAGAACGTGCCGTCGGGCAGGATGACCTGGCCGGCGATCTCGCCGCCGATCTCACCCAGCTCGTTCGGCCCGAAGCTCGGCACGAACTGCTCGTTGAGCGAGAGCAGGATCGAGTTGGGGTCGTTCTCGCTCAGCAGGAACGGCTCGAAGTCGGCCTTGGCCAGGTTGTAGCGGTCCTTGCGGTCGAACACGCGGTCGTACACCTGGTTGGAGCGCTTGAAGCCGAGCCAGTTGTGCGAGAAGTTGGCGTTGGCGCTCTGGTCCTCGAAGTGGACACCCAGTTCGTAGCGCGAGGCGGGATTCTCCAGGATGTTGCGGTAGACGACGGCCGACGCTGAGGAGACGGTGACCACGGCCGCCACGCGGTTACGCGGGTTCAGGCTGGGAAACGGCTCCGACACATTGTTCTTCTGCAAGAAGTTCTTGGTGAAGAGGATCTGCTGAGCAGAGTCGTGCGCGTACTGAGAGGCGCCGATGTTCACCACGTACATGCCGGCGTTGCGCTCGAAAAAGTTGTGCGTGATGTTGAGTTGGAGCGGCAGCTTCTCGACGGCCGGCGTGTCGCCGCTGTACAGCCTCAGCGTCGCCACCAGCTGGTCCGCGAAGTAGTTGTACTCGATGTTACCGAACACGTTCGACACCGGAGCCATGTTGACCGCCAGCCTCTCGTTGTTGAGGAAGCGGTTGTGGCCGATCTGAAGCGTCAACGCACCCCGCGTGGAGCGCTGGCACGTCCACAGGTCCACGGCGTCCTGGCGCGCGCGCCGGAACACGTTACCGCTGATGTTGACGAACGAGTCGCGGCAAAAGTTGCCGACGAACGCACCCTGCAGCCAGTTCTCGGAGAAGTTAGAATAGGCCAACACGAGCTGCTGGCTGAAGGCCACCACCTCGCGGGTCTCGTTGTACCACAGTGACAGGCCGCGGCCTCTGTTGTCCGCTATCTCGCACCAGGAGATGTTCTGCGCACCGCCGGCGTAGGTGATGTTGATGCCGTCGCCGTTGTTGCCGGTGATCTGCGACCACGTGATGTTGACGTCGCCGCCACCGCCCCGCACGTGCACGCCGGCCACGTGGGAGTTGTTGGACACGACCGAGCTGTGCACGTGCACGAGCGAGCGCAGGTTCTCCACGGCGATGCCGCGTCCATTGTTGTCAGAGATGTCCGAGCTAGACACGTTCAGATCGTGCGTTTTCCCTGAAATGACATTCAAGCATGAACATGCGCGACGTGGAATCACATCGCCTCAGCAGGAATGGCGCAGTCGCCACCAAAAGACCCAAAACCAAAAATACACCAAAAAGAGAAATGTTTTGAAAAAACTAGAGCAAATACAGTGCAGCGTGTCTTCGCGGCGTTATAATTATTTGTATTCACGGCCTCAACAATTCCGCGTGCAGTTTGCGGGCGCTGGACAGCCGGGACGCGGCGGCTGGGGACAGACGACTCACCGAGTCCGGCCGTGACGGCCATGAACACCTCCGTCTGCGTCCGGTTGCGGGCGGAGAAGGTGACCAGCAGGTGGTTGCGGGTGGTCACCAGACTCTGCGGCCGACTGCCGTTGCGTACCTGCCGACAGCGCACTCAGTCAGCCGGCTGGTGCGGTGATGCAGAGGATGTCTCGCGTTCAGCTGAGCATGATGTCCTGATGCCCTGTCCTGTCCTGTGTAATCACCAGGTCGGGTCGCACCCAGTCCTTTCATATGGTTTTTGACGTACGTTTCGCATTGTCAGAAGCAATCAAATCACGTCAAGTGTTGCCCCCATGACAAAAGATATTTGAGAAACGTACAATGACAGACATATAGTGGCTTCAGAGGTAAGCGCTCCAGAAATTGTTGCAAGCCGTAAAGGCCTCAGACGAACATATACAACACCCATAAGTCTGGCCAAATACACTCAGTCATTGCACGCAACTGGAAACATTCTGTAACTAAGGTCATCTCCGACCAGGAAGTTCATGACAGTCTGGCATTCTGACAGCTGACATCCGACCACTGCCGCCGTTATAGCGAGCGACGCGCAGCGAACCTAGCGGCGCACCTTGAAACTACCGAGCAGTGGAGACGCCTCCGACTTCCCGTCGTAAAAACTGATCTCAGCATCGTCGTTGGCTTCGTTCATCAGATACAGGAAGTTGACGGTGAGCACCAGCCCGATCCGGGAGCTGAAACGCTGGAATGGCCCCGGCGAGCTTCAGCCGGGCGGCGGGCACACCTGTCGGCTGCAGGACCCAGCCCACGCACGGCCGGGGTCCCGCGCGGCACGCAGGGCGATCTCGAGCACTTCTCTGGGTTTAGATCATCAAAGTGCTCAGAATGAAAACTTTCCTACACTAGACCAAGCGCTGCATTGGTTGTTTAAACGGCCCGTGCAGGAGCCGAGGCTGAAGCGAAGCGGCCTTTAATGGCCCGATGACTGCAGAAATCATTTCTGATATCAACACCTGAGATGAGCGACGAGAAGCTGGCCGTAGTCTCAGTCTAAACTCCGTCAGTCCCACGCGTCACCTGGCTATTTAACCCAGTAAGAGCACTGACTGACAGCGGCGTGAGGCCTTCAGGCTCGCAGGACACCGTGCTCACCATCACGCGGAGGCCGCCTCACCTTCTGGCACCGGATCGGTCGGTGGCTGGTCTTGAACTGCTGCGCCACGGTGTAGAGTGGGAAGATCTGGCGGGCGATGGTGCCCGAGCTGCAGAAGTCGGCCACGGCCGTGCCGTCCACCTCGCGGCGCGGCGTCTGCGTGTCGTGCTGCACCAGGCGCAGGCCGTCGGCGCCGCTCCCCAGCACCCGGCAGCCGTGCACGTGCACGAGGCCCGTGGATGTGTTGACGTAGATACCGGTGCCTGCAACAGCACGCCCGCCTCGTCATCTACCGCCACGCTAAAAAGAAATGCCCAGTAGCTCTTCGGAGGGCTCTTGCAAACGCGGGTCCAGATTGCGGTGCTTGCTGGAAGGCGTCAAGCGGCCGGGGTTGATGCACCCCGAAAATTGCTCACGGCATTTATCCAAAAAACGTTACAACGGTCAAGTTAGCCCGCTTTCCGTAATTTTGGTAACCGTTTGTTGATAACCTTTAGGTGGCAAAATGAGGAGGGGCTACCCGTAAGGAGAGGTTTTAGCATGTGTTGTTGCCTTGAATCACGATTAAAATCCTTGGTACGGTATCGGCGTTTTAATCAAAGCTTGTAGGAGATGACACTATATTTTCGTTTGATATTCGTTTGATTATCATCCCAACCCATATCGTATAATCTGACAACAGGCAGACAAAAGAACTCTGCAGTCAGACGTGGCACATATGTGTTTCATGGACCTTGACACGCCGAGGCCTTTGTGGAAAATGCACCAGTTGGGGGGAAACCGCTTGAAAATGGGAGCGAGGCTACACCCTAACGAACAATTGGGTAGACATAATCATGAACTCTGCAAGAATTGGCACTTGAAACGCTGAAACACAACTGAGTTACCAGGGCAGTGCAAAATTTAATGAACAGCATACACGAATAATACAACACGCCAACAGTAATTAAAACTAAAGCCTTAGCACGTCACTCAGGGGGCCCAATGATGTGTATATGGCAACCGCGCAGGTACACGCAGTCTGGAGGCAGCCGCCGCACGCACCAGCGTTGTGTTCGACGGTGCAGTTGTTGATGTTGACCAAGGAGTCTGGCGCCGTGATGTTGATACCGCCGCCGGCCGAGTGGCGGACCGTGACGCCGTACATCTGCGGTGGCACGCCCTCGCTCTCGATCGCCGCATGCACCTGACGGCGGCAGAGAGCGGGTCACAGCCGGCGTCACAACCGCGAGCAGACGACGCCCAGAGCCGGCCACAGGCTAACTGCGGCCAGAAGACGGTCAGAGACAACCAGCGACTTCCCGAACCAGTGAACACAGCACAGCATCGGCGGGTCTTAGGAGCCCGTCGGACGCCAGGCCGTCGCCGTCGCCGCCGTCTCACCTGTCTGTCGAGCCCCATGCCCGCGTGTAGCACTTCCAGGTGGTAGAGCTTCGACTGGGAGAACTTCTCGTACAGCGTGTCGCCGGCGGTGAGCATCTTGTCGTGGGCGGCGTGCTCGAACCGGACGCCGCGCCACTGCGACGCCGGCCGGCTGGCATCGAACACCGGCAGACAGCGCAGCGCCAGGTCGGCGTGCTCATCTGCGCGGGTCACACTCGGGGTCAGCTCTGCCACACATCTGACCAACGTCAGCCACCAGCCGGCGGCCGCTCCAGCCTGGCGCAGACCGGCCGCTCCAGCCCGGCGCAGACCGGCCGCTCCGGCCCAGGGCAGACCGACCGCTCCGGCCCGGCGCAGACCGGCCGCTCCGGCCCGGTACAGACCGGCCCCTCCGGCTCAGCACAGGCCGGCCGCTCCGGCCCGGCGCGGACCGGCCGCTCCGGCCCGGCGCAGACCGGCCGCTCCGGCCCGGCGCAGACCGGCCGCTCCGGCCTGGCGCAGACCGACCGCTCCGGCCCGGCGCAGACCGGCCGCTTCGGCCTGGCGCAGACCGGCCGCTCCGGCCCGGCGCAGACCGGCCGCTCCAGCCCGGCGCAGACCGGCCGCTCCAGACCCAGGGCAGACCGGTTGCTCCGGCCCGGCTCAGACCGACCGCTCCGGCCCGGCGCAGACCGGCCGCTCCAGACCCAGGGCAGACCGGCCGCTCCAGGCCGACGCAGGCCGGCCGCTCCGGCCCGGCACAGACCTACTCCTCCGGCTCAGCACAGGCCGGCCGCTCCGGCCCGGCGCAGACCGGCCGCTGCAGCGCGGCGCAAACCGGCCGCTCCGGACCTCTACTTCGGCCAGTTTTCACGAACAACGAACAATCGGCTCTGTGTTGGTCTGAGCTCTGGGGGCCCGTTTCCCAAGCATGGACAAGGCCGGAACTGCGACTTACGTTGGTCGGGCTCCTGTATCGTTCAGGGGCCCACAGCGCCTAACTAGGTATTCTGTGTCAACAAGTGGCCTCGAATTGGCCAGGGGAAGATTTGCACAACAGGGACGGGACGGGAATACAAATGACAGAGGGTCTGTTGCGTTGGTCGAGACCCTCAGACAACTGAAGGAAACGTCAGAACTTATAAGGAATGCGCACATTAAGGCTATAGAAGAGTGCTGTGCCAGTCAGGGCTCTCAATACCGAACGGTGGGCCCTCCGTCCGCTTTCCAGCACGGGACCGTTAAGCACATCTGGAGTTTATGAGCCAATTATTTGACCACCTGCGGCGATCAGAGATGTTGTTGCAATCATGACGGTTCATGCGTCGATACGGGGTCAACTGCGCGGGTCAGAAAGCTTCCCTCGTCAGGGAGCAGACCAATGTGGTAAATGCATCCCTCTAAGGGCCTCCGGATAAGTTAGAGGATGCCGCACAGTGTCGCCAGAATGACGGCCGGAAGACACGCCGCATTGGGACGGAATGACCCCTCAGCCCTTGACCGGGAACAGTATTGTGCCCAGTAAAATAGAATAGTGAAACAAATAACATCAGAAGGTTTCAGCCTGCGCGCCGGGTGACAATAGTGTAGAGGTTAACGCGCCTACGTTAACTTCTGCGCGTCTGGGAAACCACAAGCACGGGGTTTGATTCCCTGCGGTGTCCGCCCTTCCCGCCAGGGTGGGCGGCTGGCGACGCCATATAGCCCCAGCAGTAGTCATAAAGCCCCAATGCCACGCCCGTAATCTTGGGGAGCAAGGATAATGATGACTTGGACGGCAATTTTTGTAAAACTGAACAGCAATGGCTACTGCGTGTAACGCCAGGCGGCGGGCGCCGTGGGCACAACAACCATCGTAAAATAATGTTTCTAGGTATCTCAAAATTAAGTCGTTAAGTTCAAAAATTACACTGGGCGAATCTTTTTTACGACTTCGAGTTTTTTCTCTGGACAGCTTAACAGTTAAAGCAACACGAAACACAGAGATTTTACCTTTTCTCCCCCAGCTACATCACCAGATTTCAGGACCACTTCGCGGTGCTATAAAGACCAACGCGTTTTTGTCATCAATCTAAAAACCACACGTGTTAAATTACGCCCGGAATATCTTTAGATGTGCGATTCGTGGCCAGAAGCGTTCAAAAGTACTTCTTTCAAATGTGTCATCATTTTCGTCGACCCGTTGGCCACGGTCTGGCGTTGGCCGAGAAGCCGACGCTGCGCGGCTAAAGGAGACCACGGAATCCTTGATATCTCTGTACAACTAAGATACAAATTTTGATTAAGTTTTTGAGTTTTATCGGTTTAAAAAGAGTCCAATATACCAGTGTAAAATGAAGGGTGCCGGCGATTTATTTCATGCAGTCACTTAACGCATGCTTTTTTAAGAAAAACATGCCACCATTACCAAATAAGCCATATCCAGCGATTTTTTAGGGGCCCTTTTACCATCAGCGGGCCCTTTGTCAACCCTGCTTCCCCCCTCCCTGCCAAAGCTCTGGCTGCGCCCTACAGGCAACCTCATGCGCATGCCCAACAACAAAGCATGCGTTCACAGCTGCCCGGACGGCAAGACGACGACGTCATTCATGACGTCATACCCCATAGATCCTGCCTTTGTTGGGGTTCCGTGATGCTACGTGGAATCTTAGTCGAACAAACGCCCCGCGCCGTGTGACAATTATAATGTGATGCTGGCTAAATCTTTGTATCGAATTAGTTGGCTGCCCACCACTCGAGCGGCCGAACGCAAGAGTTAGAGACCCGGCTCCTTAGCTACGAACTACATCAGCCGTCTGCAGGCGACCCCAGCCGTCTGTAGGCGAACTCAGCAGTGCGCAGCCGACCCCAGACGTGCACAGCCGACCCCAGGCGTGTACAGCCGACTCCAGACGTACACAGCCGACCCCAGCCGTGCACAGCCGACCCCAGCCGTGCACAGCCGACCCCAGCCGTCTGTAGGCGAACTCAGCCGTACACAGCCGACCCCAGCCGTGTGCAGACGACCCCAGCCATGCACAACCGACCCCAGCCGTGCACAGCCGGCCCCAGCCGTGCACAGCCGGCCCCTGCCGTGCACAGCCGACCCCAGCCGTGCGCAGCCGACCCCAGCCGTGTGCAGCCGACCCCAGCCGTGCACAGCCGACCCCAGCCGTGTGCAGCCGACCCCAGCCGTGTGCAGCCGACCCCAGCCGTGCGCAGTCGACCCCAGCCGTGTACAGGTGGTGTCCGTGACGTACCGCAGATGCCGGCGCCCATGGCGCGGCTGCTCCAGCGGCAGTCCTGGACGCGCGCCTCCGAGCCGTCGCAGCCGGGCCGCTCGTACAGCAGTCGTCGCGTGCCGTTGAGCCAGGGGTACCAGTCGGCGTAGTGTCCGCCGGTGAGACCCAGCTGGCGGCACGCTACTCTGGAGTCGGCGGCCGTCCAGCTGGCGGCCGAGGTCGCACGGTTAACAGTCCAGCTGGAGGCCGGGGTCGCACGGTTATCGGCGGCCGCCCAGCTGGCGGCCGAGATCGCACGGTTAACACCGCCACACACCATAGGTCTGGTTTGGCTCGATCGAGATCGGCGTCAGTTGGGTCAGCAATAGCCAGTTCAGGGGGCATCGAATGAAGAAGAGTCGGGAGCGGTGAGGCAACTGCAGGCATCCGGGAGTGCTCCGCTATCGAGAACCACTGGGAGAACCCAGTGGGTCTGCACGGGCGCTCGGGCGGGGCTTCCGCCAGGGAGACACTCAGGCCCGCACATGGCTGATGCATGCTACTTACCCTAGGTAAACAGGGGCGGGTGGAGGTGAAGGATAAGACGATGAGTAATGAGAGCGGGGTTGATGACACGGCAGGGTCAGCAGGTAGGCCGAGTCTGCAGGCGGGCTGGGTCTGCAGACAACTACTGGGCTCAGGGTCAGCCGAGGTCTCCAGTGGGAACACGAAATGAGCAGGGCATTTAGCCGGGCTAGGGTCAGCGCAGTGCACATCGGAGGGTGGAGTCGGCAGGGTCTACAAACGGGCTGCAAACAACAAGCGGACACGGACTTACTACGCATCACACGGCATTAAAATCCGTACCCACAACTGAGCATTCGTGAAAACGGCGTTTGTTACATCACTCATGCATAAAAGATGACTGGATAAAAGACTTTGACGCGGGTTTTCATCACACACAATGTACAAAACAATTCAACCAGCGAAAGCGGAATATGCCATTTGCATAGAATTGAGCAGGTCCGGTAGCATAAATTGATCAGCATTACATATTCAGTTACACAGATCATGTTCGTCACTTCCATAAAGCAAACCACCGGTCCTAACATGAGTGTAACCACCTGGAAGATTCATCCCCTAATCTTAATAAAAGGAATTTTGCCTGGTCCAATTTTGCCCGTACAAGGCATCTTTCCTATGTTTCCCCATTTAACAAGTCACTTTAGGGTCGAGCTGTCTCACCGCCAGACCCGTGCCATCCATTCAACCCTGATTCCCCCCTCCCCCATCTCAGATATGCGGTTATGCCCCCGTGTCTCAATGGCAAAGGGCCGGTGGGAATCGCCCACTAAGCATAAAACAGCGGAAGGAATATGAGTTGCAAAACTTACCACGTCGCGCGTGCAACATAGAAAGAAAATACGAAAAGTTACGGGACAAACACAGATATGTAACTGCAAGCAAGCAGGCAGGCAAGCAGGCAGGCAGGCAAGCAGGGGCGGTATCGCACGAGAAAGCAAAGCATCTAATGGGCGTACGTGGCGACTTGTTACGAGCCAGACCGCAGGCTCAGCTTAACTTAACGTGAAATCACAAAAAATGGGTAATTCTGAAGTTCCGACCAGGTCCAGCCTCTCACGTCTTTGACCGGCTTCTTTGCGGCCATGAAACCTAGTGTCATGCTGTTTTAGTTGCAAGTCCAGGTATTTACATGAAAAACAGTTTTTCTCACACGCCTTCCCACAACTCTACGAAATTACGACAGCTTGACATTTCCATGTGATTTACAAAGAAAATGTTAAAACTAGAGATTGCAACAAACGGAGGAACACAAGTCGAAGCCGCCAACCGATCTCGGCGACGCTGGCTCGCAGCGCCACGGGGCCGATACCATCTGGCGAAGAAGGAAACAGACGAGCGCGCTAGTAAAAGTGTGGGTCGACGCGCGCAGCCGGTCCCGCGTGCTCGAGCGCAAAACATGGGTCCACCGGTCCGGTGGTATTATCAAGGATTGGTGTCAGATGTTTGCAAACAGAGGTGAGTAAAGACGTAAAACAATGAGCTCGGTACACAGACCTATCGCAAGGGAACGCGCTGTCTAGAAATCACTCACCGAGCTGAACAAATACCACTGCCGGACCCATTTGAACCCAGTAATCAACCCAGAAACCATCAATATCGTTTTTGAAACCCAGGGTAGAATATCGCGCCCTGGAGTCTTAGCCGAGAAAGACTGGGTTATATAAGTCACAGATCAGACACACAGTCGTGTTTCCAAGTTTAATGAGATAAATATCCAGGCCCCTCTAATTTTTTTTTTCTAGCACTACACTGGACAGTCACGAAAACGTGAATAATTCCAAATTTTCTATTTGGTCCACTGAAACAGTCAGGCCTGATCAATATGACAGACGAGCAATTTTTCAACAAAGCTATTCGTGCTATAGCTGCAGCGGGTCCTTGCCGAAGGGCCGGTGAGCAGCGGCGTTTTAGCTTTGGGGAAATGGTTTGCTGTACGCTGCGCCTCAATTGCGACCGTTTTCTGTTGTTAACTTGTGACAAATGCATCAGTATCGAAATTCCATTAATCATCATTTGTTGTAATTTCCCGGTAACTACTTTTCAGCTGATGTCATCATTCGTCTTTGTGCCATAGCGTGATGTCCCTGCTTTTATGTTAAAGTCATTATGCCCTTATTTGTAGCTGATAAATATATCTTTTCGGGACTTTGCCGCATGTCCTTCCGGGTTTTGAGATCGCGCGGACTACAGTTAGTGATGCCATACATAATACGTGGAACATGTGACTGTGGATAATACGTGGAATGCATTGGCTCAAAATGTAAACAAGCATTATCAGCCTCAGCAGATTATCCCACACTTAGAACTGAAGAAATGAATTTGCTCAACTTGCGACAAACGGGCCATCCAAATAATTCATAAAAGCTATTTGCCTCGGTTTCCAGGGTCGGATGGCTGCAACCGCTCTGATCTTGGTATAATCCTCGTGACGATTATCACGTTCTTCATTAACTCACCTGTCCCATGAATCAAAATGCTCCAGGGATGTTATTGGTAATACACATCAGAGCGACGGTAGCGAAGCCATACTGGGGGGGGGGGGGGGGGGGGGCTGGATTGTTTTTATTGCCTTGGTACTGGGTAGTGCCAGTGGAGCCCGCCTTCCCGATCAGATTCATCATGAATGTTTGCCTGATGAGCGTGCTCCTCATGGCAGTAATCTGGTGCGCTACACTGCTCAACAAACATTCGGAACGTTTAGTCACGGCATGCTTCGCGTCAAAAAGCGCTGCCCAGTAGGGCGTGCCAACAAGCGCACGCCAACACGCAGCGAGTGCTGCACTGTTGCTCGCACGTCTGACACCGGAGTCTCAGCCGAGGCGGCGCCTGTCGTCCCGGTCGGCAGCGGTCGGCGCCGGCTCTGGACGGACTACCGAGCACCGCTGACGCAGACTGCGCCCAGAGACACGGCCGGCCGCGCGCGTCATGCTTCACATGCGTGCCGAGTGGTGCGGCGGCGGCGGCGGCGGGGAGGCGGCGGAGCGGCGTGACCGCGGCGCCCGAGGGCAGCGACCGGGCTGCTCCGGGGCTGTTAGACAGCCTTGGACTGCTCTTCGGGTCACCGCTCTGCTGCTGCTGGTGGTGCGGAAAACGCCGTCGGAAGTGAGGCCGACTGGAACCGGACCAGGTCGGTAACGGCGGCCCAGGGTACGGGGAGGTGCCGCTCCGATACCGGCTACATCGAGCTGAAGTTAGGGGACGTGGCCGTGCAGCGTGCTACAGGCTGATGGCCAAGCAAGCTGTCTGGTGGCGGTAAAGGGCACGGCGATAGCTCAGTAGTGTCGACTCGTGGCTTCATGACGTCGGCGGCTCCCGCTCGTGTCCCTGTGGCGCACGCACACGTACGTGTCCTGCACTTGCAGCGGACCCGCACCGCCGGCTTGTGGCCGCGAACTGTCGGCCGACGGCTACGACCTGTCGGCTTGTGGCCGCGAACTGTCGGCTGACGGCTGCGACCTGTCGGCTTGTGACCGCGAACTGTCGGCCGACGGCTGCGACCTGTCGGCTTGTGGCCGCGAACTGTCGGCCGACGGCTGCGACCTGTCGGCTTGTGGCCGCGAGCTATCGGCTGACGTCCGTGCAGTGTCTGCTTGTGGCCGCGAACTCCCGGCTGACGTCCGTGCAGTGTCTGCTTGTGGCCGCGAACTCTCGGCTGACGTCCGTGCAGTGTCTGCTTGTGGCCGCGAACTCTCGGCTGACGTCCGCGCAGTGTGGGCTTGTGGCCGCGAACTCCCGGCTGACGTCCGTGCAGTATCTGCTTGTGGCCGCGAACTCTCGGCTGACGTCCGTGCAGTGTGGGCTTGTGGCCGCGAACTCTCGGCTGACGTCCGTGCAGTGTGGGCTTGTGGCCGCGAACTGCCAGCGGACGTCCGCGCAGTATCTGCTTGTGGCCGCGAACTGCCAGCGGACGTCCGTGCAGTGTGGGCTTGTGGCCGCGAGCTGTCGGCTGACGTCCGTGCAGTGTCTGCTTGTGGCCGCAAACTGTCAGCTGACGTCCGTGCAGTGTGGGCTTGTGGCCGCGAACTCTCGGCTGACGTCCGTGCAGTGTCTGCTTGTGGCCGCGAACTGTCAGCTGACGTCCGTGCAGTGTCTGCTTGTGGCCGCGAACTCTCAGCTGACGTCCGTGCAGTGTCTGCTTGTGGCCGCGAACTCTCAGCGGACGTCCGTGCAGTGTGGGCTTGTGGCCTGGTCGTGGGCCAGCTGCGTCACGGCGGCTGCTGGGCGCTGACAACGCGGTAACAGATCGCTATCGCGATAATGACCGGCGACCGATCCAGCCGCCTCAGCCGGCGCCGCACAGCACGGCCGCAGCCAGAGCGGCCGTGTCGTCGCGACGCGCCAGCTACCGCAGCCGCGAGCCAGGAAGCCGTCTGCTGCCCTCGGACAGGGCACTGACATCAAACACGGGCGCCACCAGCGCCGAGCCTTATATAGACGACCCTCCGAACCATTTGTTTGCCGCTGGTCATATGAGAGCTGCGCATCTTTTTGGAGGGTCCTTCACGGTTTTGCCGACAACGACAAAACGGTCGCAGCAACGCATTTACAAATCGCGTTGGTTATTCCCCCCCCCCCATTCGTCCTATTTCTGAAGAAGAAATGTCAGAAGTGATTGTTATTGTTTCTTGTACTGAGAAATTGG